AATCCTATTTTCAATTAAAATGTCCTCGAGTAAAAATACTTTATCACAGTTTAATCATGCCTTTACAAATATTTTAAAATTTATTGAAATTTTCGCAATTTTGTATCAGAGATGTTTTATTTTGATATATACTTTATTTTCTGTAAATGATATATTTGGCATATAACATATATANTATATATATATATATATATATATATATATTTTATTAAATTTAGGAAAAAACAAAAACGCTATCAAAATCTTAAGAATCACAATTGGGAGAAAAGGCACTTTAAACACGAAAACCTACTTGATTCCTGGAGGAAACAGGGAGAAGTAAATCAAAAGAATGAGAATAATGCACACATATAAAAGTTAAAATGGGCATTCTATAGTCTTGATACTATAAACAAGAACCATCCTTAATGTTGTGACTCAAAATGTAAATGGACGCTGACGAATGTTATTGTTTATCGAACCAAAACTATAATATGTCCATTTTGTTTCTTTATTTGCGCTTTATTCTTGTTGTTTTGCATTATTCCCATTTAGCACAGAGTATATTTATCATAATTTAAAACAGAGAAAAGTTGAAGAGGGAATATTAGAAATATCTCCACATTTCATCAAGCAGTCAAACTGGCTTCGAATTTCACTCGTGCCTCTCTCGCAATTGTTTTGACGAATTTCGATTTCTCTATAAGTTCTTTCTCAGTTAAATATTCATTTTCAAGTCTGAACATGGATAATATTTTGTTTTCATTTTGACAAGGATTTTAAAATCGTTTCTTCCTAAAAATATGTATACACCAGTTTTTAATTTAAAAACAATTATTAAAAATTACACCAAGTATATTGGTTGTGTTCTTTTAGTCCTAAATTAACTAGAGATGCTAAACTGTTGAAGTTTATTTCATTAAAAACCTTAAGATTTCAAAATTACGTACGTTTAAATTATTCCAAACACTATTGAAATGAAGAGTGAGAAAATTTTTACTTTTCTCTAATGTAAAATATATCAGTTGATCTTATTTTAAAATTCGATATAATACAATTTGATGTATTAGTATTTTAATACTGATTGGTACGGGAAATGTAGAATACAGCAAAAACTGATTAATTCAAACTGAACAACCTAGTAGAAAATGTTAGCTCTATTGTCCTTCCCCGCTTGAAAATTTTAATCGCGTGCTAACCTCAAATTGAATTATCCTCAGATTGTTCTAAGAGAAGTTTGTAAATTAGTTTCCGATTCCGGACAAATGGTCCATAACAGAGTTTGAGGAAATGATTAAGATGATTTCCCAAAACCCTTTTCAGACTATAACAGCCCATGGCCATTTGAAACCATGGCACAAGCACCAAGATCTACCTGCAAGACCCTTTAATATATTGCATCAATTGATCAAAATGTATTGTTCCTAAGCCTAATACCATTGTATCGATGTTCCTCGAAGCAACAATGCATGCCGGGTAAACCCGAACAATCAGCTTGGAGAATTCGCGAATGTTTGAGTAAATATAGCTTGGAAAACGTTTTTGCTTTTCCGCCTCCGATTAATTTCTTCCCAGCGTTCCAACTCGAGGGATTAACAACTGTTTAGCTTATTTTAATTTAAGTTCTGTTTGTTTTATTACGTCTTCATTTTAACTACCGTTTGTTGAAAACCAATAATTGAGTCATGAGGGTCGGTGCTTTTGTTAATTTTCTTTAGTGTTTGCACAAAGTTTCCGCCTTCTTGTTTGGGTGGGATAGGTCGAAAGTCTTTCTCCTAGTATTTGCTTGAGTTTATGTACCTATTGAAAATGTATGAATTGGATGTAAGCTTTTCAATTAGCATTAGATTAATTAATGCTAAACTTAATTTTAAGAAATCGAGATTTAAGGTTTTGAGCGAATGAATTAATAAAAATTATAATATAAATCAATGTGAAATTAACTAGGAATTACTAAAAAATGTTTTGCTTGTTTTCGTTCAAAAAGTTGCTTAGGAAACCTTATAAAAATTTGAATTATACAATTATTATAATATTCAAGGAAAACGGGAATTCCTGTAATTCAAGGGTTTAGGGTATTGCAGAGATAAGCTACATTTTAAAGTTCTTTAGAAAAGAGTTTTTGGTTAAAATATCACAATTCCTATGAAAGCAATAAGATAGATGGCGTGTACTATTCTGTTATCTTGTTATTTTGTATAGATTCTAGAAATTTAAACAATACATTTAAGGAAACAATACGAATGAACAATTCGATGCAAAAATATCCCTTTGGATAATTATTACTATATTGCCCGTAACCCTTAAATTGAAGGCACTAAAAAATTTCCCGAATTCGAATTAATTAATAAGAAACTAAGCAGTTAACACTCTTTCTCTAACAAATAAAAAAACTTTATCTGACACGGAGTTTAGCTATCTCCATGATGATTCTTTAGATTTTGAAATCTTTTCTTCTCTAACAAATAATTAATTTTCGGCAGCTAAAATGTATATTTTCAAACAGTATTTTACTCACGTATTTCATACGAAATACACGTGAAAAATACGAAATACAGGGGATTGCATTAAGAAAGGTGATTACAACTCATTCTTTACGGAAAAAAAAATTCTTGTAAAAATACCGTTCTTTATGGTAATGGCATTTCTGGCAAAAAAAAAGCCATAATTCTGGTAAATAAAACAAAAATATATGATCTTTTGTAATGATGAAAAGCTTTTGCTGCTTCCTTCATTAACCGTATCGTTGATAGTGGAATGTATGAATGTTCATTTTGGCCAATATTGAATGAATAAAAACAATAACGTTGAGTTTCCAGGAAATAATGTGCAAATCATTGAATGTAAATTTAGGTTTTATTAATCATAACTTAAGATTTCTATAGTGGCCACTTCATCAATAAAATAAGAAATCCCTTAAAGGGATGAAATTAATAATACTCTCTATTGAGAGATCAAAAAAAGGCAGAACAACATTTCTGACCGTTAGAAAATTAAGACTGGGAGTCCCCCGAAGGGGTCCCAGCCTTTCCAATTTAGAAATTCAAAGTGAATATATTTATTCTCAACGGACAGAGAAAGAGTATGGGTAGGAGATCCAAAATTTGGCGATTTATCATAATATATCATAGCCAAAAACAAAGCCAACTAGCATGTCCACATGGGTTAAAAAGAACACCTTGGCGATCACGAGTCGCCAACAAATTTATGTGAATTATTATAACCATGCAACCGAAACATTTAGCCGTT